TATATATATATATATATATATATATAAATTTAAATATAAAAAGGTGAGTAAAAGATATTTCTTAGCATCAAACTAATTTTTTTTAATTACTAAATAATAAAATTATTTTTAAATATTAATTAAATATAATAATGTAATTATTTTTTTTATAAAAAAACTAATTTAAAATTTTAGCCCATATATTAAACTAAAGAACCCGCTTTGATGTTAGCAAAAGAATAATTCAAGTCATTTTAATATCATGATTGCTTTGCATATAATATAAATTTATTGCGCCCAAATTGATAATTCGTCCAAATAAGCCAGACGATTGTCAACTCTTGGGGTGGAACTTTGTAACAATCTTATGCGAAATAAATAGGTATCATAAAACTCCAAAAGAAAAGAAAATTCGAAAGTGTTACTTTTTTTTTTTTTTTACACCTTCAGTAGTGGTACTCAAAATCACGCTTTTAGATCGATGTCCATCATTGTCAACTACAGATTCTACATCACATTAACCGAACAATATTTTCAAACAAAGCATAATGTCAATCCGCCTCCTCTGATATACTTCCAGTCGTGACCATCCCTTTTGGCTAATCGGATATTTTTGGCTTCTGGCTCAGTATCATAGTTTTTTACGTTATAATACAATAAACTTATGAAATGCAAGAACTTGTCATACACTCATCAGTCCGGCCTCTGGAAATCAGTTTTTGATTTGTCACTTCCCAAAAAGGAACTGGGAGACAATCTCAGTTCCACTCTTTCTCAAGAAAATGAGGGTTTGAGCTAATAAAAGCAAAGAGAAGGCCAAGTCACTAGCAAGTCTATTTATGAAGAATTACCGCCAGCAAGAAGAGCATCAGCTGCAGAGTCCAAGTCATGAGGGAAAAAAATCCTGCAAAACAATATTTTAATTGGAGCTCCAGAATACATATATTAGGTGAGCAATACACACATGCACACCCCATAGAATACCAAGAGACAGTCCTTATGCCAACGAGTTACCAGAATTAGGCAGGCAACATGGATACTTTGAATCAAAATTCATTGTGTAATTACCATGCATTGATTAAATTGAATTTAGACCAACATAATTTTGTAAAATTGATTATAATTAAAATTGAGTTTGAAATAACGTGATTTTTATTTAAATAACATCATAATTTTTTTTTAAGAAAATGATGTTTGGATATTTTGAATCAAAATGGATTGTCCATTATACTTCTTTTAAAAGGCAAAGATGAGAGTAAATGAGAAAAATACAACTAAAAGTTCAAAATTGATTTTGGATGAAGCAAAAGAAACTCCTTATTGTTTCAAACCCACTGTGATTTTATTTATTAATCAAGCATTATAATTCTTAGTAAAACCAAGTTTGACTCTCTTAAGAAAGTGGATTATCGGTTTAATTCAATTTACAAAACCAATGAAAATTTCTCCTCACTTATATACTATATTTTGGTTATATCTCTAATTAATGTGGGATCTCTAGTAGATTCAACTCACTATGGTTTCATCACAACCAAACACATCTAAGGCTTTTATTTAATATCTTGGCAATCAGTTAAAGTTCAACTTTTAAAAGAAAAACAAATATGCAAGGCCAATTTGCTAATCCGAGCCAAAATTGGCCCAACTTGAATTTTGCACAAAAAAATCTAAATTTATGATCAAAATTTGTGTATTCACCTTCCGATGACTGTGATGCACACATTCAATACGACTATCAGATATGATATTTGATAGTGATATATATTCAAAAAAATTCAAATTAAGAACATACTTAGTGAAGTGAGGCACATAAATTCTCCGGTGTATTGCATACTCCCTTACATGTACTATTCACTTTTCCAAAACTAAAGTTGCAAATTAGTATGCACATAAGCCAAGTCTTCTATCCTTTTAGGATTCAACTTGTTTCTTTTCAATGAGTAAATAAAAGAATAGGCACTCCAATTCCTTTCACAAAAAGATACCGAACTAGGCTAAGTAAACACTCAATATGGTCACTGGAAAATAGTAGAAGTAATCGATAGGTTTTTGAAAGATTTTGTGGCATGAGTCCCTAAATTTTAATTTTGTTAGCAAATTTATCTTTCTGTTATGTTCAGTTACTAGCTTTATTAGTTTCTTAAATAGTCAATAGTGAAATTTTAGGTTGACACCTATTTTCTTTCCTAGATGGCTGTTTCTCTTACAATCACCTAATATAGACTATAATACAAGGTTTTGATACTTTTCAATAAAAAATGAATATTTTGTTATGTTTAAATATTTCGCCTATGGGTGTTCTGGTTAAAATAGAAGGTTGTTAGGTTTCGTAGAGTTTCCCGTAGTTAGAATTTTCTGTCTCAGTCATCCTTGATTTCTTAATTTGTTTTGGCAACTAACATGTAACCCTTGTTTCATCTATTTATGGTTATGCTTCAATTAATAATTCCACAAATACGCTATTGCTTAACATTCTGGTGCACACTGCACAAGTATACCATGTTAGGATAGACAAAGAAATTAAGGATGGTCACTCCTTCAGTAACAACTCTGTGACTTCCATTTGTGCAGCTAACATCAACCTATCATCAGATGAAGAAATTAAGGATAACTAAGACAGAAAAACCCAATTACAAGAAACCTTACAAATCCCAACAACCTTCCATTTTAACTAGAGCACCCATGACCAAAATATTTAAACACGATAAATGTTCGTTGTTGATTGAAATGTACTAAAATCTTTCATTATGATCCATATTAGGTAATTAGGAGAGAGAACAACTAACTGGGAGAGAGAATACATACCAATCTGGCAATTAACTATTGACTGGTCATGAGACTAACTGAGTTAATAACTAAATATAACACAAAAATTAACTTGCATAACCAAATTAAAATTTAGGGACCCAATTGCTAGAAAAAAATCCTTCAAGGGCTTATTAGCCACCTCTACCTTCTTTCAGGAACCAAATTGGGTGGTTACTTGAATTAGGCTACACATGAAACCTCGAAGCATGCTTTTGAAGGGGAGGGACAAAAAGCCATGAATTATCCACCAAGATTTAGGATCTAATCATCTATCTTCAATTGAATCACAAGAAACAAAATAATTTGTTGGCAATGAGAAAGCAACATATTCAAGTGTGACCTTTTTTTAACCGTAACTGTCATGAAATGCATGAGACTGCTTTGATGGTCTGAAATCTTGAAGTGGCATCTATGTCTCATGAGGAACTAGAAATAGATGGTGCTCAAGGAGATGATGAAATTGACATTGTTCCCATTTTTGGGCAATAAGAAATGATTTGCAAATTCTATTTTATATTTGGTAATGTCTAAAGAAGTATGTTCTTATTTTGGACTTTTAGAAGAATAATTTGCAATTTCTGTTATATTTACTTATGTTTAAGAAGTATGTTCTTACTTTAAATTTTATTATGTATCATATATTTTTCAAGAATAGATATATCACCATATTGGATTATATAATATCTGATACTCGCATCATACTTGTGTAGTTATGCATCATAGATGATCAGAAATTGCACGTTATTATTTCCAATAAGCAACGTTACCTGCAAGTGTTGTTGTACAATGTTCTGCTAAGATTGCCCACATCATCGATGCCTTTACAGCCAGCAACTACTTCAAGAACTTGCCTGGAAAATTAGTCATTTAGATGCAGTTCTACAGTTGAAGTTAAATTCATTTAGACATAAGTGTAGGATAGTCTAAATGTCTAATTAAAAAAACAAGATGGCAAATACTAACAAATCATGTTGAGGGTTCAAATTTTAGAAAACTTGAATGTTCATTTTGTAACTATGGTGATATTGACCAGAAGGTATTTCTTGTGATAATAAGTACCACAAAGATATAGATGTAGTCAGTAAACTTGGGAGTTGGCACAAGCCAGCTTAATCAAAACCAGTCCACTTACCTAACTAAACAAGGTTCATTGCGGCCTTTAACAATGCTCTCTTGATCATACTTCTCTTTCTTCTTAGAAGGCCATGTAGATTTAACAAAACCAATACCAGCATGAGTATTCTTGATTTCACAGTACGGTGAGTCTGTCTCAATCATCATTCTCTCAACAGGAATACTCTTCACAACATCAATGTTCTCGGTCGTCTTCAGAGAGCACCCATTTATCCCTGCCAAAGAACCAATGATGGATAATATTCATGGGAAATAAACGGCACGTTTATATTCAATCACCATAATCCAGTAACTGAAAGTGAAATTTTATGCAAGTTAACTAACAAGGAAATAGATATTCAAACATGACAATATCCTCCACAGAAACACATAATTAACCTTTACATACAAACACACCACCTATATGTTCATTTTCTTTGTCTTTTCTCTTCTTATCTAAAACAACAGAACCAGTAATGTAAAAACACAAAGCTTTCTCAAAGTATATTCATCTTTTATCTCAAGGAAATTGCAATTGCACAACCAAAATTTACTTGGGTTCTATTTTTAGAAAGGCAAACCCTAAATTTAGACATATCTAGGTGACTTCAAGTAGGTCACAAACATAATAAAGCTTGAACGGGTGGATTTACCTATGTACATTTTATCAAATGAGAGAAGCTTAATGCAATCATCCAAACTACCAGTAAATGAATGAGTGACTCCAGCAGTGAACCTGACATACAAGTAGATATGGTTAGTCCAGCTTCACATCTTGAAGTGAATCAAGTGATTATCATCAAATACAACCAATGCAACAAATGCACTTATATTTTAATACTAAAGTTACAGTTTTGTATTTTAAGCTCGAGAATAAGGTACATAAGATAAAAAAACCTCAAGGTTACTTATTTCTTATTTGAAAGTAATTTTTGTATTATGTGTTGTCAAGGCCCCAAGGTAATTATTCTAACCATTCAAATGACAGATTATGTGTTTGAAAATAATCATTAGTATCTCCAAACAAACCCCTTGTGCACTTTATTCTAATGGATCTTAAACCTTTTATATCCGTTTTTCCTTCAATTCTTAATTTGAAAGCAGAAATAACTTAGCCAAGGGTGGCAGTAATACGGTCTAATCCTTGCAATTAAATTCATTTCCCAATATAAATAGAATGACAACCTAACCAAAAGACATATTAAAGCAGCATTATTTGAATATTATCAATTTCAAAATAGTGAGATCCAGCAATCACACCTGTCCTTATTTTTCTCCATTATTTCACAGAAATCTGTGGCAGCTGCTCGCATGTGCAAAAACATAGGCAGTTTTGTGATATATGCTAATTCAAATTGCTTCTCAAAATACCTTGCTTTCACATGGAAAAAACAAATGATTCATAGATGATTTTAATATATTATAAATAATATTAAAGAGAGAGAGAGAGAGTTAATATGAAACATATCTAACAAAGGTTATGGCAAGACTGCTTACTTCTTTTGAATCTCTACTGGACAAAAATGAAGCCTGTCATAGTCCAATCCACATTCTCCAATTGCAACCACCTTGCACATGAAGAAAAGTAAGAATAATATGACAGTTATTTCTAAATGGTTACTCAGGTAGTTTCTGAACTAAAACACAAGTTCTGCAACTATATGAGAACGACATACACAGCGGCATGTTTATTACAAATGAAGCGGAACTCAACTATTTTAACACACATACAAAGAGAATATATCAATCAGATTCAGAATTATTGAGGTCTGAAATATCTAGTTAAAATTAAGATATGTTTGATAGTTTTCTAACTGCTAGAGTATAACCACACCTTTCCTTTCTGAATTCCCTCTTTAGCTAAAGACAAGAGAGCCTGAAAATGCTTTTCTGGATCTCCACTCTCCTCAAATTCCTGAACCAATATACCAAATCATGATTACAAACACAAACACTTCCATCAAAACCACTCCTCACTGAAGAACCCCTAAAGGAGAAAAGCAACCTTGCAACGTGTTGGATGCACACCAACTGTGCAGAAAAGTCGTCCTATGATTGACCAATAAATCATCAAATTAGTGAAAATCTACATCCTGCATTTGAAAATCATCAAGAGAAAGTGATGGTAACATGGCAAACCATCTGTTTCCGCAATTGCAAGCGCTTCCCTTGATTCCTCCAGGGATCCACCTGTTACCTGAAACACAAAAAGCAAGTCCTAACACACCACAATTCCACAAATCATGCAAACATAGAACACAGTTCATATTTTATGGGATCAAATTGGTGTGTACAAAATCTTATCCAAACAAATGACCACATTTTAGCTCCAGAAATTCTGTTCAACGGCTTTAAAAACCCGAAGCATCTCAAGTTCTCCCAATTAACGCATATAGAATCTTCTTCAACTTTCAAATTTCACAACTCGGTACGATTTTTTATTAATTTTCTTAATTCATAATTAAAGCAGAACTAACATTCATAATAAAACTTGAAATTACAGATTTGAAAAGTTGGTTGAGAAATAGGACACATTACAATAATTCTTTGGACACCAGCAGCCCATGCTCTGTTCAAAACGGTTGCAATATCTGAGACGTGACATTGCTTGCCGTGGTAGATTCCCATAAACATGCCATCTGCACTTTCCGAATTAAAAAGAGAATAGATGAATAGGAAAACGAAGTGTTTGATTAAATGCCTCACCGGTGAAGTTGACGGCTATATCTGCATTTGTTTCGTTGCAAATGAGAGTGTCAGTTGGTGTCAGTTACTATGACAATCGAATCGAGACGCAAGTGTTGTGTGTTACATACCTATCATTCGAATACCTGCCATGCCTGATAGCTGATAGCTCAACAGAGTGAAGAACGACTTGATATCGTAACGCGCAAACTGATTTGGGCCTCCCCCTTTTCAACAGTGCTCAATTTTTCATTCTATGTCTACTCATCTCTAGTTTATATATTTTTTTATTTATTAAAATCTCTAGTTTATATTTAGAATACATATAAATGATGGTTTTTTTTTTAGTTTTTTTTATAAAAGTGATTTTTATTTAAAAAAGCAACTTTTTCATTTTTTTTTATAAATTTATTTTCTTAAAATGAGAAATTATTTACTTTTTTCTAAGAAACAACTTTTATTTGTTTCTTAAACAAATTTTTTTAAAAAAATACTCATTTAAAAACATTTTTTAAAAAAATTAAAAAAATAGACTTAATATATATAAATAAAGTATAAGTTTTTTATTTACATTTAATTTCATTATATAAATATATAGTAAGTTGATTTAATTTTATAATAAATATTCAAAAATCATGTCTATATATGATAATGTTTGGTTAGTTTTTTTTATTTACAAAATTTTTATTACTATCAACAATTATTGTTTATGAATAATTTGACATTTGTATTTCTTAATCAATAATTAAATTTATTTTTTTTACAATAAAGAGTTGTAACTAAAAGTATCATTTTATCTTTAAAATGCTACACTATGGTGATTAGTTATATTAAAAAAGAAACTTTGATTAGTTAAGTTGTTATAATTAAGGATGAAACTACAAAAATTCAAACTTTAATTAGGGTTATCAATAAAATTATTTGCCTATTTAGATCAATTTTTCGTATGCAGTACTTAAAAAAAATTAAAAACAGGTGATTTAAAGTTTTTTTAAAAGCTAAATTTAGTTTATATATAAACTAATAATATGTAGATCTTTCTTATATTAACTTCTTTAAAATATTTTTAACTTAAATATAAATTAATTTTAACTTATAGAAAATTTTATAATTGATTGTTTAGTGTACCAATAGTGGGATGCATTTATATATTGGATATTAACAATATAAGTTACACTAATTGATTGAAGAAAAAAATAGTCTTTTAATTACATGATGGTTGCATAAAAATATAGCCACCAATTAAAACATTTTATTTTATGGATTTTTTTAAACAAATTTAAATATTTGACAATTGAAATTAACTATTAATTATATGTAATTTGATGATAATCGGTGTAATTTTTAAAATATTAATTAATTCTTTTAAATGGGGACAATAAGATAATGATCCTTAATTAAATTTAAGAAATTATATAAGTTGTTAAGTTACTAATTTTTTTGTTTGTGCAACAGAAGTCACTCCTTGTGAATACAAATTGATTTTTTATTATCAACTTTGTAATATTGTATAATGATGATGTTGATGAAAAAAAAATACTAATAATTCATAAGTGTGGACGAAACGAAACTTAGTAAGAAAATGAATAAATTAAAAACATAATATGTAATAAATATTTCGTTCATGCAATCGGCTAGAAACAAACAAAAGACTAAATAAGCTGCTAGAAACCAAAATGATACGTAATTTACCCACATTATAAACCAATTGAAAAACAACATTTATAAACTGTACCTTTGAAAGTTTTAATATATACACAAGAACGTACATATAACCAACAAATGAAATATTGTACTTAAAAGTATAGGTCACGCCTACAATATCTACACTCATCCACACTTCCTTGTTAACATGAACATCATCCACCCGTAACACTTAATTTGCCTCCCTTCTCTTATCTTTCAACTTCATTCAAAGAGGCCAAGAAGAGATAAAAGTGCTTTAGCTCCGGCCTCTGCGTGCTAGTAAAAGTTCATTGTCGAAAAAAACCCTCAAACAGTTAAAGAAAAAGCACAGATCGAACGTACATGTTACCAGAAAAATACATGATCATGACAGAAAGAAAGGCACTTTCACATGGGAAGAAGGTCAAGGCAGGTTTTGGTTGACTTGACTACCAAGTTTTGATGTAAGATCCCACATGAATATCATAGCCATGCCACTCACCAATTAATCTGACCAATTTCTGAAAACAATGGGGAGAACTATAACCAACATGATAATGAAGAGGAGTATGGCAAAACAGGTAAAGTTACGAGTATTCTTCTGATGGTTCCTCACAACTTGCAACTGCTGCACCCCTTTGGTGACGAAGGAATTTGCAAGTGCCACATGGCTCTCAATGTCATCCAATTGTTCACCCTGGGGTTGAATCAACACAGCCATATCCAAGAACAGTTGGTGCAGCTCGTGTAGATTTCTCTCTATTTCTTTCATGGTGCCGTGCCTCTCCTGAATCTCTTGGATGGTGTCCATGATGCTGGCTCTCCCTTGCTGCTGGATCGCTTTCTGCAAGAAACTTTCACTCTCACCTGCTCCACCATAATGTAACAATTAATGCAAAGACCAAAATAAGAAAAACAAAACATGCACATGATCGGGGTTATGTTATGGTGTTTTTATGAGAAGATATTCTATGAGAATTATTTTTACACACAATTCTACGGTGATGAGATATGGTCTATTTTAGGCTTAAGTTCTCATCATTTTATTATTCAAAAAATCTCTCAAATATTGAAGTATATATGTGTTTTATAAGTTGTTATTTTTATTTGATTTTATTGACGTGAGGCTTGTTTATATCCTAGTACTAATACTATACTGATACTAGTGATATATATATATCTTAATAAGCAGACAGAAAGAGTGATGAATTTGTTACCCGTGGAGATGAGGAGGTCAATGGTTTGTTGATCAGGGTTCTCTCCGGTGACAGCGTAGTATCTACGTTGCACGGTGTCTCTGTACTCGTACGATATCTGCTCCCTCAGGTTATTGAAACTCTCCATGGAGTGTCTGAGGTTCTTGGTGAGGGCTCCGACAAGAGCGGTTCGGGTCCGGTGGGAGTAGGAACCGGGTCCGCAGTCGGGCAAAGAGAGTGCGGCTCGGTTGGCGCGGTGGAGAGCCTCCAAGCGAGCCTTGACGTGTTTTGCCTTGGTGAGTGTGAGAGCCACGTCCATGTCCATGCGCGACCGAAGCTCCCTCACGCCCTTTGGACTGTGAAGCGTTTTCCCCTGTTGGTTGGTTGCTCGCAGGCTCAGCTCGAACCTCTCTAGCTCCTTCACCTCTTCCTTCACTGACTCCACTTCTTCCAAGAACTTGTTCAACTCCCTCCCACCATGTGTTATCTCTATCACCTGCTCCTTTTCTTCCTGCTTTCCCTTGTAGAACAAACCCGATAACAAGTCGTTCATGTTCTAACTTCTTTATATATGCTTTTTTTATGAACAAGGCTCTTTCCTTTTAGATCTAGCAAACCCAAGTGAAGGCTTTTATAGTGTGCCAATACTGCCTGCTTTCTCTGGGAGAGGAACAGAAACAGAAACAGACCATACTTATCTAGTCAACTGGAATATCGTACTTTTTCTACATTTATTTCATATAAACTTGAAGCTTGCATAACCAAAAAGAATAGACAAGAGGAAGCACCCCACAAATAGACGCAACACATTAGTTGAGCAAAAATTATTATAGGGTCTTCCCATGCATTGTTTGTATATATATTATATAGCGATTGGTTAGAATTATAAATATTTGATAGTCCTGAATTATCTTATAATTTTTGTTAGTTGAGATATATATATGAGTTAAAAACATTTTGTTTAGTTACCCGTTTAAGTGATTACTTAACTAGTTTAGTTGTGTATGATATATGGTAGCTATATATTCTGAAACTATAGTTTAAAAGTAACCTTCTACGGCGTGTACTGGCTGAAAATGAACCTTCCTATCCATGCTTGCTCCTTGGACGTTCCAATTTCCAACTAGTTTCTGTACAACTCTTATCCAAAATAAATTTGTATAGTTTTTATTTTATTAATTAATTCCGTTATTTGAAGATGATTTTTCTTTTTCACATTCTTTAAACGTGATATTATATATAAGAGGTTGCAGAAACTCTTTATAATACATACTTTTATTATTTAGATGTATTAAAAAATTATAAAATTATGAATCAATCTTGTTAAATAAGACGTAAGATCTATAAATATTTATCATTTTTATATATATATATATATATATATATATATGTTATTAGTTATTACAATAGAAAATTAAAAATAAACAAATAAACGAGAAATTTTTCGTTGCTTAGAAATTAAAAAAATATATATCTGAATTCAAGAGTTGGTTACGATAGAATGTGAAATGTGGCACCCCATTGTAAGTTGTATCAGAATATGGTACCTAAGTTCTTTTTTTTTTTTTTACGGAACTAAATTTATGATAGCTAAGTTAAATTGTGCAATTCTATACCTAAAACCAAAATAGTTATGAATGTATAACAAAAAAACGATAAAAAAAATAACTTTGGCCCGATATTGCTCTTACATATTTCTTGATACGATTGAAAACTCAAGGCCGCACGTACATGTTATTAATGGCTTGTACATTTGAGAAGTTTTAGATTATTAAGATGATCTAAAATTATATATATATATATATATATATATATATATATATATGTCTCCATATTAGTGAGATATTATCTGTTTTGGGCTTAAGTCCTCACGATTTTGCTTTTCGACATCACCCAAAAGGTCTCTCAACCAATAGAGACAATTGTGTGTATATAAACCCATGTGCATCCTCTTGGTTGAACGATGTGGAACTTTGCTTGCATCCCGACAATCCTCCTCTTAAACAAAGGACCACAAGACCACGGTTTAACCCATCCCCTGCAGCGGAAACTACGAGTATACAGAGCTCACTCATGCTCAGAGTGCTTGCACCGCCGCTCCATTATGACCTCCCTGTTAAGTTGTTAAGTTTCCGTTTTGTTAAGTTTCTGTTATCACGTACTCATAAGTGTTCTTAGGTTGTTACGTTGTTATTTTATTATTTTTACGTGCCTATTTTATCGCTTTACAATATGGCACTTTCAGCTTTGCAGTTATTGTAAAGGCTTATATAAGCCACCTCTGTTTATGGAATAAATCATTCTCTCGTTGCATCATTTCGTGTCTTGTATACTTTGAGCTTTTACAATTGGTATCAGAGCTCCGCAAGGGGCCTGGTACAGAGTGTGAGTATAGAGTGTTGTGAGAGAACCACAAAACATCCAAGTGTGAGAGTACAGTACGTGGAAAAGGGAGATGTCTACCATAGAGAGGTTCGTGCAACCGGCCATACCAAGGTTCGATGGCCATTATGACTTTTGGTCCATGACGATAGAAAACTTCTTACGAAGCAAAGAATTGTGGCAGCTCGTAGAAGAGGGCATTCCAGTGCTTGACGCCACATCCACTGAGGTTCAACGCAAGAGTGTGGCAGAGTCCACTCTAAAGGATCTAAAGGTAAAGAATTACCTATTCCAAGCTATTGATCGGGAGATTTTGGAAACCATATTAGACAAAAGTACATTGCAGGCAATCTGGCAATCCATGCAGAAGAAATATCAAGGCTCAACAAGAGTAAAACGTGCTCAGCTTCAAGCACTACGTCGTGAGTTCGAGCTTTTAAGTATGAAAGAAGGGGAGAAAGTAGATGCATACCTAGGACGCACTCTCAGTATAGTCAACAAGATGAAATCAAACGGTGAGAAAGTAGATTCTAGCACGGTAGTTAGCAAGATACTCCGATCGCTAACTTCCAAATTCAACTACGTGGTGTGTTCCATTGAGGAGTCTAACGACTTAAGCACCCTCAGCATTGATGAACTTCATGGCAGTTTGCTTGTCCATGAACAAAGAATGCAAAGTCTTCAACCAGAGGAACAAGTATTGAAAATCACTCATGATGACCGATCTGGAACAAGCCGTGGCCGTGGTCGTGGATACAGTCGTGGCTGGGGGAGAGGTCGAGGCCGACAACCATTAAACCGAGCACTCATTGAATGCTTTTACTATCACAAGCTCGGCCACTTTCAGTATGAATGTCCCGAGTTTGAAAAAAAGGCTCACTACGCAACATTTGACGAATCAAAAGAAGCAGAAGATGAGCTATTACTAGCAACATATGAGGAGATGCCACAATCTGTCCAAGAGGAACACTGGTTTTTGGATTCCGGCTGCAGCAATCACATGACCGGAAACAAGCTTTGGTTTACAGAAGTGAGGGAAGAGGGATTTAATCGATCTGTTAAACTCGGAAACAACACAACAATGGCTGTCACTGCGAAAGGTAGCATTCGAATTCAAATTAATGGCACCTCTCATGTCATCACCAATGTTTACTATGTTCCAGAGCTTAAGACCAATCTCTTAAGTCTAGGGCAACTCCAAGAGAAAGGTTTAGCTGTTCTATTTCAAAATGATACGTGCAAAATATACCATCCAGATTGAGGACTGATTCTTCACACCAACATGAAAGGTAACCGAATGTTTTATCTGATAGCTTCGATGACTTCTCAACCTCTCAGGTGCCTTCAAACTGAGGACTCTTCAGACAGGGAAACACAATTGTGGCACAAACGCTTTGGACATCTCCATTTTAAAGCACTAAACATACTTGCGAATAAGCAAATGGTGATCGGTCTGCCACAAATGAAACTTCCTCAAACACTATGCACTACCTGTCTTGTGGGCAAGCAACATAGAGACACTATACCAAAGCAAAGCTCATGGAGAGCTTCAGCAAAACTTCAGTTAATTCATGTTGATGTCTGTGGTCCGATCTCACCTGCCTCACACAGCAACAAAAGGTACATATTAAACTTCATTGATGATTACTCACGTAAAACTTGGGTCTATTTTTTACATGAAAAATCTGAGACTTTCACTGCATTCAAAAGCTTTAAAGCCTGTGTTGAGAAGGAAGCGAACACCCACATCACTTGTCTCAAAACAGATCGTGGTGGTGAATTCACATCCAAGGAGTTTGAGAATTTTTGCACACAACAAGGCATCACTAGGCAATTGACAGCTGCCTACACCCCTCAACAAAATGGAGTTGCGGAACGCAAGAACCGCACCATCATGAACGTTGTACGAGCTGTGTTACACGACAAGCAGGTCCCAAAACCCTTTTGGCCTGAAGCGGTGCGTTGGTGCATACATGTTCAAAACAGAAATCCCACTTCTGCCATTGATCAGCGAACCCCAGAGGAGATATGGAGCGGAATCAAACCACGAGTTGATTATTTTCGAACATTTGGTTGCATTGCTCACGTGCACATTCCAGATCAAAAAAGAAACAAGCTTGATGACAAAAGCCACCCGTGTATTCTGCTAGGTGTAAGTGACGAATCTAAAGCATACAAACTATTCGATCCTGTTATGAAGCGTGTAATCGTGAGTAGGGACGTGGTGTTTGAAGAAGATAAAAGCTGATGAAAACACAGAAAGAAGCAAAAGTGAAGTTCTAGATTGGGAAAATGAAGCAGTCACAATAGACCCAGTAAATGAAAATGCAGAATCTACATCACATGAAATAACAACTAGTGATGAAGAAGTACACAGATCAACTTCCAATTCAGAACACATTGATTCCTCAACAGAAGTTTTGGCTCCAAGATCACGAAGACAACCTGCGTGGTTGTCTGATTACGAAACCACTTTTCCAGTAGAAGAGGAAAGCTTATTGGCACTGGTGATGAATGAGTCTAGAGATCCCCAGTCATTCAAAGAGGCTTGTACAAATCAACAATGGAGAGAGGCTATGGATGCAGAGATGAAGGCAATAGAAAGGAATCATACGTGGGAACTTGTGAATCCGCCAGAGGGGGTAACACCCATTGGTGTCAAGTGGATTTTTAAGACCAAGTTTAATGAAAGTGGCCACATAGAGAAGTACAAGGCTAGACTAGTGGCCAAAGGCTATGCTCAACGATTTGGAATAGATTATACAGAAGTTTTTGCCCCAGTTGCAAGACTTGACACCGTGAGACTGATATTAGCTCTAGTTGCTCAAAATGCATGGAAAGTAATGCAACTTGATGTCAAGAGCGCTTTCTTACATGGTGAGCTTCAGGAAGAAGTGTATGTCCAACAGCCTAAAGGTTTCATCAAGAAAGGAAAAGAAGATCACATCTACCGTCTCAAGAAAGCACTATATGGGCTTAAACAAGCTCCAAGAGCTTGGTATAGCAAGATCGAAGCTTACTTTGCAAAAGAACGCTTTGAACGATGCTCCAATGAACACACCTTGTTCACAAAAAGGATTCATGATAATATTTTGATTGTCAGACTCTATGTTGACGATTTGATTTTCACTGGCAATAGCAAAGACATGTGTGACGAATTTAAAAACTCAATGAAGGCAGAATTTGATATGACCGACTTAGGCCATATGAGACACTTCCTTGGAATCGAAGTTATACAAAGTAACACAGGAATCTTCATTTGTCAAAGACAATATGCTCATGATGTACTAGCTCGATTCAACATGACTGAAAGCAACTCAGTGCGAAATCCAATTGTACCAGGCACAATACTCTCCAAGGATATTGAAGGTTCTGCAGTCGACGCTACCAAATTCAAACAAGTCGTTGGGAGCCTCATGTATCTAACAGTGACCCGGCCAGATTTAATGTTTAGAGTAAGTTTAATTAGTCGATACATGGCAAATCCAAAAGAGTCACATTGGGCTGCAGCAAAACGACTATTAAGATACCTCAAAGGAACCCTCGAATATGGTATATTCTATCAAGAGAAAACAAAGACTGGTCTCATGGCTTATAGCGACAACAACTATGCAGGTGACTTAGACGATAGAAGAAGTACCTATGGAGCAGTTCTTTTGATTGGAAATGGAGCAGTTTCGTGGATGTCAAAAAAACAGCCTGTGGTAAGCTTATCTACCACCGAGGCTGAATACATTGCCGCAGCATCTTGTGCCTGCCAGTGTATTTGGATCCAAAGAATTTTAGAACACCTTAGTTCAGCAGAAAAGGAAGCAACTGAAATTTTATGTGACAACAGCTCTACCATTCAATTATCCAAAAATCCTGTCTTCCATGGAAGGAGCAAGCATATAGCAGTAAGATTTCATTTTCTAAGAGACTTGGTTAATGATAAAGTAGTTCGATTAACGTACTGTTGTTCCAATGAGCAAGTAGCTAACATAATGACTAAAGCATTGAACCTTGATCAGTTTGAAAAATCTGACACATGCTTGGAGTTACAACAGTTACTGAAATAAGCTAAAATGCATCCATTTAGCTTACGGGAGGGAATGTTAAGTTGTTAAGTTTCTGTTTTGTAGTTTTTGTTATCACGTACTCATAAGTGTTCTTAGGTTGTTACGTTGTTATTTTATTATTTTTACGTGCCTATTTTATCGCTTTACAGTATGGCACTTTCAGCTTTGCAGTTATTGTAAAGGCTTATATAAGCCACCTCTGTTTATGGAATAAATCATTCTCTCGTTGCATCATTTCGTGTCTTGTATACTTTGAGCTTTTACACTCCCTCATGACAGCAGGACACGCCTCCTAACTTTATCGCCGCTCCATCATGACCTCCCTCGTGACAGTGGGACACGCCTCCTAACGCTCCATATTACCAGGAAGTCTCTCTTTCACATGGACCCACCGTTAGGAAGACTTTTGACACACAAGGGATCCCAAACTTGGATCCACCTGCCAGCCATCATACTCGTCGAGACCATCGGCTCTGATACCACTTGTTAAGCATTAGGGAGGTTACCACACATATACACACAATTGTCTATATTGTTTGAAGGCCTTTTGGGTGATGTCCAAAAGTTAACGATGTGAGACTTTGTTTGCATCCTAACATATATATATATATATATATACTGTACTTCGTCATATATGCAGGACTAAGAACATGTGACATCGAATATATATATATATATATATATAGAGAGAGAGAAGAGTTCAAACAACCACCGTAATTTTTACTAAGTATTATACCGCTCAATAATTTTATATTAAATATAAATTTTATAAATTCAATCGTTAGATTGAAAGTTCTTTACTCTTAGATTATATATACAAAATTTTATATTAATCTAAGATGATTTGATATTTCATTTTTTTTTTAAATCAAAATTGACGTTATACATTTCAAAATATAATAAAATATGAACACTTTAATTACCTTCAATTTTATCAAAATTTGATATAAACAAAATCTACATTTAATATAAAGTTATTAAATAGTATAATACTTAATAAAAGTTATACCGATGTCGTTTCAACCATCCTCATATATATACACTCCTTTTGATTTTAAATATAAGTATAAAAAAATATAGTTATTGGTCTCAAATATAAATAATTTTGACTCTATTTAGTGTTGCAATCTATAAAATATATTTTCACTTAATTGAAATTATATTTTAATATATATTTTTATTCTTAATACCAAATTTTAAGGAATGATGATTTAAGAAAATAAATTATTTTTTAAATGAGATTTATAAAATTAAATGATGTAAATAACCTTTCTTAATTAAATTGATTTTTTTTATTATATTCATAATTTATTTACACAATTAAAGCATAAAAAAGTTAATTTAAATATTTTAAACAAAAACAATTAAAATTTTGAATATGATTACATTATAAATGAATGAAATCAATTATTACTCAAATCATATTTGTTGGAGTAGATGGACATGCGAGGTAAGACTAGGAGAAAGCAGTGATATACTGAGAATATATCTGAGGTTATATGAAAGTGATGTAAATGTGAAAAATTAGTTAAACCATGTTAACCGTTAGTTAGAATATTCCCTACTTAATTTATGACGAGGGACAATGCAGATATAGAGTAATAACGGGGAGCAATTGCCCCCACAAGATTATTATTATTTATTTAAATATATTCAATATTTCATAGCTTATTCTCGTAAAAAAATTATATTATTAAAATATATTTTTCTGTAAATATGAAAAATGGAATGCGCAAATCATATAAAAATTAATTACTTAAATTAATGATTATTTAGTCACAGGATAAGTTTTTCGTTGAATTGATAATAATAATTAAGAAGCCGTACAATCTTTTACAATTATGAAAACTCGTCGACATTAATTATATATAATTTGTAAAAGTTTAGTTATTATTTTTTGTTTTTTCATGAGATTATGTATTTTATTTTTAGAACAGTAGAATACACAATTTTATAGAAAATAATAATAATAACTAAACTATCAAAATATATAATATTTTTATAAAAATATATGATAATTTTTTCTTCTATAAAATACTATATATATTGGACTATTTTCTTGTTTTCATTAAAGAAAATTTCTGGAACTGTAGCTAAATGGTAAACTTGAATGAAATTGGGGGTGTTTAAATTTGAATCAACCCAAACGAAAAATCGTAAATCAATAAAAAAAATAAAAAATTATAGAAAATTATAAATTAGT